CTCTGATTGGTCAATAAATAAAACACTGGTTGGCCCGTGGCCTGGCAGGAAGTATAGGTGGGACTAACAGAGAGGAGAAAAGAAAGAACAGGAAGGCAGAAGGAGTCACTGCCAGCCGCCGCCATGACAAGCAGCATGTGAAGATGCCGGTAAGCCACGAGCCACGTGGCAAGATAGATTTATGGAAAAGGATTAATTTAAGCTATAAGAACAGTTAGCAAGAAGCCTGCCACAGCCATACAGTTTGTAAGCAATCTAAGTCTCTCTGTTTACTTGGTTGGGTCTGAGCGGCAGTGGGACTGGTGGGTAACAAAGATTTGTCCTGACTGTGGGCAAGGCAGGAAAACTCTAGCTACACTGAAGTGTTTAATTTTTTTTTTTAATTTGGACAGAGACTGTTTTTGGCTTAGAGCTCACTGGTAGGCTAGCTGACCAGTGAGTCCTCTGGAACCAACTCTGTATGTCTTCCTAGGTCTGGGATTACAGGTGTGTATATATCCACACACATGCACACAAAATGCACGGCATTGGGACAGTCATTTGAGATGTAAGCTGGGCAGGAAATCACTAGACCAAGAGCTTAGGCAGTTTCCACAGGGGAGGCTGTGGTTAAGTGGATCACAGACAGCTTTTCCTCATGTGGATTCTGGGATGGAGCTTGGCTCCCCATGCTTTCTGAGCCATTCTCCTAGCCCTAGGGCCAATTTCCATTAGAATTTCATTCATTTTGAATAATTTGTTCTGTATTTCCATGGGAACATCTTTAAAGAGACATTTTAATTTTATTCTTGTGGATGAGTGTTTTGCCTGCACATGAGTATGTGTTCGATGCCCAGTGCCCATGGTTGATAACCACCAGTGGGTGCTGAGATCCAAACCCAGGTCCTCTTGTAGGAGCAGTAATTGCTCTAAACCACTGAGCTCTCTCTCCAGTACCTAAAGAAAATAATTAAACGCAAACATTATCTTCTCTAGAGGTATGAGAATTGTTAATGAGATCTTAAGGAGAGAGGTTGCAGTGAGATTAACGTCCATGGAATTCCCACTTCAATGTTGATATTATTTATAATGTTTCTACCCCACATGATGATACATCTCTGCACAAAGTGGCTAATCCATTGAGTGCTGTGGGCTCTGACTTGGAAGACCAAGAGGCACCTAAAGGGACTTGAGAGAATTTGCTCTAAAATTTCCTGTTCTCAAGGCCGTCAAGTCAGTGGAGTTGTCACAGACTGCTGCCTGCAGAGGTATTCATCTTCTCACTCAGGGCAAGGTCAGCCGTGTTGCCCCTCCAGTGACATTATGACATATCTGACATGTGTGTATCTTCGGGCACAAATGCAGGGCGATCCCCGCCATTCTTCACCATGTTTGTTTATTATTTGTATGTGGAGGGAGACGCATGCCTCAGTGCATGTGTGGAGGTCTGACAGCTTTGGGAGTCAGTTCTCTCCTTACACCCTGTGGGTTCTGGGGATCCAACTCAGGACCTCGGGCTTGGTGGCATGTGCCTTTGTTCACAGAGCCCTGTTGCTATACCTGTCACTCTTCCTATATCATCTTGTCTTTGAAATCATATCATGAAAATATTTTATTCTTTTTAAATGTTAATTTTATCATGGATGGTCTGTATGTCAAATTTGTTGCGCTGATTGGTCAATAAATAAAACACTCATTGGCCAGTGGCTAGGCAGGAAGTATAGGCAGGACTAATGGAGAAGAGAAAAGAAAGAATAGGAAGGCAGACAGAATCATCGCCAGCTGCAGCCATGACAAGCAGCATGTGAAGACGCCCCCTGTAAGCCACAAGCCATGAGGCAAGGTATAGATTTATGGAAATGGATTAATTTAAGCTATAAAAACAGTTAGAAGAATCCTGCCATTGCCATACAGTTTGTAAACAATATAAGTCTCTGTGTTTACTTGGTCGGGTCTGAGCTTCTGTGGGACTGGCAGGTGATAGAGAATTTTTCTGACTGTGGGCAAGGCAGGAAAACTCTAGCTACAATTATTTTTAAGATAATAAAAGTGGCATGCATTTACTGTAACCAGAGAGACAGCGCTAACATCTGGAGAGGAAAATTTAGTAATTCCAGCCTTCCTCAACTCTCTTTGTTCCCATTCCCTTGAAGCCCAAACAATTGGGCTATAGCTACATGAATAATTTTGTAATATTTTCATATTTCAAAATCATCTCATTAAAAAACCACACATATACACAAGCATGTACACACACACACACACACACACACACACACACACACACACACCACAACACACCCATGGATGACAAATGACTAGAGGGAAGAGATTTTCTTTAATTATGTGAGAAATGGGCTTCACTCAAAATCACTCACTTTTCTGTATCTAAAGATTCCTTGGTCTTCTGCTCACACTTTTTCAGTTTTAATTGTTATTTATTCTTTTCTCATATAACATATCCTGACCACAGCTTCTCCTCCCTTTACTCCCCCAGTCCCTCCCCTTACCTCCCATCTCCCCCAGATCCCCTGCTCCCTTGTTTCACTTCAGAAAAAAAAAACAGGCCTCCCAGGGATGCCAGTCATAACAAGATGCATTAAGACTGGGCACAAACTGTCACGTCAAGGCTACAGTGTGGTGGTCCAGGTTTGTGATATGAGCATGAAAGAGGCAATATGAGAGGATCAGGAGTTCAGGACAGCCTCTGCTACATAGCAAGTTCAATACCAACCTAAAACACATGTGACCCTATATGAAAGCCATGAAACAAAAACAGGCCCATAAGAAGAAGGCAGTGACAAGGCACACCTATGATACCAGCCACTTGGGAAGCTGAGGCACAATGCCTCAAATTTAAGGCCGGCTCGGTCTACACAGTCCCAGGCCAGACAGAGCTACACAAAGACCCTGTCTCAAAACAACAAAAAGCTCATTTAACAATGCCATTTTATTTCCAACATAGAAAACATATTGAAATTTTTTTTTTTTGGGCGGGGAGGGTCAATGCCAGTAGAATTGAAGGTGGACTGTGCTCCTGAGTGCAGGGATATCCTTCTTGGCTTCTGAGAGGCACCTGTTTTGTGCTGCAGAGAGGTGAGACCTCCAGGTAACCCTCTATGCTAACAAATCTGGCATCACCTTGTCAGCCCACCAACTGGATTCTACTTAGCAATAATAAGAGTCTCCTAATCTGGGCTTACTGGGCTCTGTCAACCATAGAGCATTCAGAGGACACCACCCCAGTGTTCTCAGCAGCATCACCCTGTCTCATTCTCCTAGGTCTTGCTCAAAAGGATGTTCCTGCACAGGAGGTCAAGTTTTCTAAAAAGCTACCTAGTTTTTCAAATAACTTTATGATCCTTTATCATTATTTTTACTTGAGTGTGTGTGCAGATCACTCACACATTATATGTTTACACTTGTGTGCTTGTGCATGTGTGTCCTTGAATACATACACATTTTTGCTCAAACTTGTATGTATGCAGCACATGTATTCCCTCCAAATATGAATTCACAGATGCTGGACACAAATGTTTTGGATACAGGCTTTCTCAGGGCCAGCAAGATTAATGCACCTTCATCAGATGGAGGTGGTGGTGGAGCATGCCTTTGATCCCAGCACTCGGGAGGCAGAGGAAGGGAGATATCTGGGAGTTCAAGGCCAGCCTGGTCTCCAGAGCCAGGGCCAAACAAAGAAATCCTGTCTATGGGGGGAAAAAACAAACAAAAACCACAACAGATAAAACCAAACAAAAAAGAAGATGCACCTGTGTCCATCTCCGAGTGCTGGGGTGACAAGCTTCAGCAAGCCTGCTCACTCTTTTTCTTGCATCCTGGGCAACAAATTCCTATCTCACAAGGAAAGCAGGTAATGTAAAACAGACAGTCACTGTCCTGGTTCTCTTGTGCTTCTGAATCTGGCCCAGAGTGTCGATTTCACACTCTTGACTTGCTGCCCAGTTGTCTAGCCTTATAAACAACACAGCCTGGAACAGCAGTGTGTGTCTATGCAATTTCTTCAAGGCCATCTCCTGGTCAGCAGAGCTATGAAGGGTATTGTGTTCCTTTATTATGATAATGGGGAAAAGGAATGAAAGGAAGGAAGGACAAAATCATGTTAGATGGGTGTATCCGAGCAAGCATACCCCCACCCCACCCACAAACCCACCCAACGACCCCAGATGTTGACACCAGGTGAAGCAGGGACCTCAGCCAACCAGGTGCACTAACAGGAAACTGGCATAGAAGTGCCACAAGGGGGCAGCACAACACCAGAGTTTCTGACAGGTTGCAGGGCCAGCAGCCTTCCTGCCTTTCCTATTGGCACAGGTTGGGGTCTCCATGCTCTCCAAACCTTCCTCCAGACTGCCTCCCACAGGATCACCAGGGAGCACTACAACACAGCTCCCCAGTGCCTCCCACAGGGCCAGCAGGAAGTACTTAGTGAACTCTTCAGTTCTGTGGACAGGGATGAACTCAATGCTCAGGCCAATTCCAGATGTGAGTTGCAGGAAAAAAATTACTGTAATCCCCATCTAGACACCCGAATTTCTTCTATCAGAATGGTCTGATTCACATGGAATATGTGGTTGTAATGGGCTGCCATGCCACTGTTTTCTCAGATTTGGGCATTAAGATTTGGGGTAGGGGTTGTTAGCTTTTAAAATAGTGCCATTCCTCCTAGACTGACCTCCAACTCTCCATGTTGGAAGATGACCTTGACCGCCTGATCCTCTTGTCTCCACCCTCCAATACTGGGATTCCCAGCATGTTCCACCTGGTTTTATTTTATGCTGGGCAAGAACCAGGGCCAAGAACCAGCGTGCATGCAAGGCACATGGACAACTAGTCCTGTTGTTTACTTTCTATATTTTAGAGAGAGAGGGAGAGATCTCAAAGTGCCACCAAATCTAGACTACTGCTCCTTATATAGCCCAGGCTGGCCTTGAATTTATGGCTAGTCTCCTGACTAAGCCTTCAGAGTCCTGGGATTATAGGCATATACCTTCATCCTGGCTCTAGCATCTAGTTTCATGGAAAAGACACAAACTCCCTAAAACTGTCTAAATGTGAGGGTTATGAGATCTCCCGAGGGGTGAGGGGACTAAACCTTCAAGCAGTGGGGGTGAGGCTCCATCTCATAGAGTCATCAGCTGCAGGTCGGGACATGGGCTGGTTGAGGCTGGTGCCTTCCATCCTGTCCCACAGAGCTGCATAGAGAGTTAGATGAGACCAACTTGAAGGCCGCTAGTCAGAACAGTCCTTCAAAGCAGCCCGGCTACACAGGTGACAGTCCAGGGACTGCTGCATACTGACCTGAGTGTCCTTGAGAGGGCATGGGACTGGGACAGCCTTCTTGCCCTTTTTCATGACCAGATCACAGCTCACCAGCTTCAGAAGAAGAGCGGCATCCAGAAACAGCTCATGTTTGTGGCACTCCAAAAGACTCTCAGTAAAAAGACTAGGTCATCTAGAAAGGTAAAAAGAAAAAAAGAGAGAAAAAATTCAGGTTCAATGCTGTAGATCTGTAATCCCATCAGGAGGTCTTCCTCAGCTACATAGTGAATCCCAGGCTAGCCTGAGCTACAGGTGTGACTCAGTTGGGACAGCTCTTGCCTAGCATGCAGGGGGCCCTGGGTTTGGTCCCCAGGACCAAATAAAGCAGGCTTGGTGGGGAATTCCTATAGTCCTGACATTGGTAGGTGGAGGCTGAGGATTAAAAGTTCAAGGTCATACCCTGTTACATAGATAATTTTAAAAACAAAACCCCTCAAACACACTAAGACCAGGTTCACACCTGTATCCGCTCTGATCAATTGTCTGAGGGCAGGAGGGTCGCCTGTCCTTGGCAGCCTGGACTACAGACAGAAAACAGGAGTCAAAATAAGAGGAGAGAAAAAAAATGAGAGGATGCCGCATTAGAGGGGACTGGTAGTTATGCCACCATGGTGTTTAAGAGTCATGTGCTTTGGCAAAGAAAAGAAAAGGCCATGAGTACAAGGAATAGACAGTAGTGAGGGGTATGGGTAAGGACAGGGTGGAGAACTCT